AAAAAAAAAAAAAAGGAATTTGTTCATAGTTTTTTTTTTAAACTATAGGTCGCCCCTCCAACAGTCTGAGGGACAGTGAACTGGCCCCCTGTTTTAAAAGTTTGAGGACCTCTGAATAACTAATGAAGCCCACCAAAAGGGAGGTGAACAAAAACAAAGCCACCAAATTAAAGAATTGCACTGGGAAGTGTATAAAATATAAAAAGAGATCATCCACATCTGCTTCTCTAATTAGTCTTCTCTGTTAATCTACTTACTGTCTGAAGAAAAGCAGGAAATGCTTTCACAGGAACACTTTTGTGAAAGGACCTCGCCTAAAAAGGAAGTGGAAAGGAAACTGGTTCAAAATGTTTCTGCAAGTAAACACTCTCCCCTTGAAAGTGAACACAAAGCAACACCAGCAGCTTAATAACACAGATAGGGCCTCACTCAAAAGCAAGAATAGCCCATCTCCTACAGGTTAAGATTAGTTTCCTAAGCCTAAAGAACTCAGGAAAAATAACTACTATATTAAAACTTCCATTCCTTCTTACAGATTACATTTTCCAACTTCCTTACAGTATCTTGTAATAATTTTGACATCCTAGCTCAGTTTATGTAAGGGGTACATAAAGAAAATAAAGCAATACTATTGTTAACAAGTCCCAGCATCTCCCTAACTTGGACTGACAGTACCTCCTGTTTAAACAAATATAAGATCCTCCTAGGTGATCTTCCTGCCTCTGTGTTCCCGGGTCTTTAATTCATTACAAACAGCCAGCCAAATTGGCATCCCTACAATCACCATTTCATGGTTACTTTCTTAATGCCCTGGGAGGTCACGTCTCAACTAGTCATCCTAGAATTCAAAGACCTCCACATCTTTAATCGCATCTATCCAACCTAACTTCCTACCACTCTGGGCTAAGAACACCTGGTCTACTCAGGCTGATGCCCATCACACTGCATTCACCAAGACCACTCGTCTCTCTGTCTTCATTTGTATTGTCCCTTACACCAGGAAGAGCAGATATGACCTCTACTTCCTGACTCACCTCTTAACCCACTGCACTCTGATTTTACCTCCAAATGTCTACTGAAGTTACTCTAAAATCATTTCCTAGTCATTTCCTCTCTTCAATCTCTCTGAAGCATGTAAAATTTTGAAATTCCTTTTTCTTGGAATTGTCTCCTCCCTTGATTTTTAAGACAGCGGCTCTCAGTTTCCCTATTTTTTTAAAACATTCTTTCCTTCTCTTTCTTCCTAATAAATGCCCTTTCTCCCTTTATTTTATAAACAGAGATAGGCCTCAAGGTTCTGCCCCGGTCTGCTTGTCTAGATGGACACTCTTCTTGAGCACCATTATCCAGACTTAGGGTTTTAACCACAGTCTTTTATATGGATGACTCCCAAATCTATTCTCTCCAGTCCTGACCTGAAAGACACAATCCTGCATTCTTCAATAGCCCATCTCCCTAAATGTCCTCTAATCTCTGCAAATTCAATTATGTCTAGCAGCTCGTCTGAAGTCTAATGGTCAGTACCAAATACACCATTGTTTGTTTTTATTACTGTAGTCTGAGTGGTACCATCATCATCTATACTTGAACTTTGTGCAGCTTTCCACTTTCTCTCTACCTGATCTTGCCACAATTTAATTACAATGTGTACCTTCAAGTTGCGAACTTTAAAATATGCAAATATGCATTCACATATCCAGTCACATAGTCACATAAAGTTAGTTCATGCGTCTAGTGCACATTTTCATGTGTGTGCATCTTCTACAAATCGCTGTGCTTTTGTGTACTTTACTGACTTTACAGTACTTTGCTGTACCGTCCTCCAATCAGTAACTCTTCTTGCCAGTCCCTGTGTGCCAGCTGTTGCACGCACTGTAAGATTTAAAATGTTTTATTTTTTCTGTTTGTTATGTATTATTTGTATGAAAAGTGTTATAAATCTGTTACAGTACAGTATTATATAGCCAATTGTGTTAGTTGGGTACCTAGGCCAACTTTGTTGGACATACGAACAAACTGGACTTACAAATGCACTCTCAGAATGGAACTCGTTCATACGTAGGGGATTTACTGTAGTTAACAAGCCTAACTGATCCTACTTTAGTCGTGTATGTGCACTTATATATACATGTACACGTATATAGACATATATAAACATCTACTCACTCTAAATCAGACATTCTTTCTCCCTCTCCAAAATCTCCTAAGTGACTGAGTACAGTGGCTCATGCCTATAATTCCAGCACTTTGGGAGGCTGAGGTGAGAGGACTGCCTGAGCCATGGGTTCAAGCAGGTTGGGCAACTTGGTGACATCTCATCTCTACAATAAACCAAAAATTTACCCAGGCGTGGTGGCGTGTGCCTGTAGTTCCAGCTACTTGGGAGGCTGAGGCAGAAGAATTACCTGAGCCTAACAGGTCGAGGCTGCAGTGGCCATGAGTGTACCACTGCACTTCAGCCTGGGCGACAGAGTGAAACTTCAACTCAAAAAAAAAAAAAAATCTCCTAACTGATCTCCCAACCCCTAAACTCCCGTCTCAAACACTGATGCACTTACTATAAGCCAAGTACCATTATAAATTCCTTATATATGTTAATTCATTTATCTAAATAACCCTTTAAGCGAGGTGCTAATACAATCCTCTATTGCAGATGGGGAAACTGAGGCATAGAAAGGTAAGATCACATGATTAGTAAATGGCAGAGCTAGTATTTAAAGTCCCGCTTCTAGTTCCAGAGTTTGCACTCTCATCTACCCTGCCCTAATTTCTCTCACAAGCCTGGAAAACCCTGCAATCTTTCTGCAGTCCACCTTCCAAGCCTATCTTCCAGGACTGTATTTCACAGAACCTGTAAACCAGAAGTTTTCAAACCTGGCTGTTTAAAATCAGTTGGGAGTTTAAACTCCCATTCCCATCTCAGGTTCACTGTCCCCATCTCCAGGGAGAAAGACCTGGGAACTTGTGCCACACATGTCCACTGACTAGGAGACTCCTCAGGTCCCACAGGTGGTCCCAGGCTTCTTCACCTCTTATGATTCTGTAGAGTACTCAGCTCTTACACCAAACTCTGCTAGTCCTAAGTAACTCCTCATCTAAAGTTCCATGTATTTTATCTCCACTTCGTCAGGGCAGAGAACTGTGTAAAATTCTTCGGGAAATTCTAAAGACTTAAAATAGAGTCTTTGCCCTCAAAGAGTTCACAGTCTGATTTTTTTTTTTTTTGAGTTGGAGTCTCACTCTGTCACCCAGACTGGAGTGCAGTGGCCGCTCCCGGCCACCGCAGCCTCGACCTGCTGGGCTCCAGCAATCCTTCCGCCTCAGCATTCCGAGTAGCCTAATATTTCACAAATATTTACTAAGTGCCTATAATGTACCAAGCACTTCAGATGCTAAAGAATACATCACAGAACCAAACAAAGTCACTTACATTCCTTGGAGGGGGGAGGCAATAAATAAGGGACTAAGGTAATGGAAAGGGAGGATGTTATTTTAGAATAAAATGGTGGCCACAAAAGAGCTTTCTAATAAGGTGACATCTGAGCACTGATTATTGTAAGGGGCAGGAAGCAGGAAGACAGAAAGTGTAAAGGCCCTGAGGTATATAGGTAAATGACCAACTTTTTAGAATCTACTGAAGGTTAAAAAAGACAAAATTTTGCCAGGCTCGGTGGCTCAGCCTGTAATCCCGCAGGTTCGAGACCCGCCTGGGCAACTTGGCGAGACCTCATCTCTACAATAAATCAAAAAAATTAGCCGGGTGTGGTAGCGCACACCTGTAGCTCCAGCTACTTGGAAGGCTGAGGTGGAAGGATCGCCAGAGCCCAGCAGGTCGAGGCTGCGGTGGCCGGGAGCGGCCACTGCACTCTAGTCTGGGTGGCAGAGTGAGACTCCAACTCAAAAAAAAAAAAAAGACAGAATTTCACAAGAGGAACCAGGAAAAATTGGCATTATGGGAATCAAGGAAATAGAAAGTTAAGTCTTCAAGAACTGCTGAAATCAAGGAATGATTCAAGGAGAACAAGAAAGAAAGAACATCACAGAGATGAAGGACAGACAATTTCACAGAAGACCAGTTAAAGTTTGTGAAGAGATGAAGAACACATTTAGGGAACAACTGAAGTGATATGCAGAAGAAACCAGGAACCAGTACAGGAGCCAAGTCAGAGAATCAAAGGAAGAAAGAAAAAAAGGGGTTTGTGGTGTCCAAAAGGAAGAAGAGTTAAAGAGAACAAATTTTATGCGACCATCCAATTCGGTAATAAGGAGAATACTTACTAGTGACTGTTTATTAGAGTGGGTGGGATACAAGCCAAATCATAGTACAATGAGCAGTGCCAAAGCGGTGAGGGCCTGAGGTGACAAAGGATGCAGATAACTCATTCAAAAAGTTCAGCTGGGAGAGAAAAATACAACAAGAGGGTCCACAGCTGCCTGTAAGTTCAGAAGGCAGTAGCAACAAACCAGAAGATAAGAGGGGCAAGTTATCAGAGAAGCAAACTGAGAACACCAGCTGAGGACCACCAAGAACACAGGTCCTGGGGAAAGAGGAGAGGCATCAGCTGTGGCAAGCAGAACGACACCCCATCCCCTCAGACAGAGAAATGGTGAGTGGATGGAGAACAGAGGAGCCCATCTGAGAAAGTGCAGGGGGGATTCAGCCAGTAAAGGCAGCATTTATGTGCTGTGAGGGAGAGAAGGAAAAGTTTACAATAGTCCCTGAGATAAGCCTACTGGGAATTCAATGGAAAATGGAATAAAGACTGCCAAGTTGGGAATACCATAACCATGCTCTAGGAATAGACACATCTAGAAATGAGAATTTCCTAAATGATTTGGCAAAAAAAAAAAAAGGCTACTTACATGCTTTAGGTGCAAGTGTGCCTGGCTGGCAATGTCATATATTACATTTCTCACATTTTTATCTTGATTCCTCCGTAGAAAGTCCTCTTGTGAAACACCATGCTGTGTGGGAAAATCTACATTACGTTAGGAATCTAAAACACAATTAAAACTAACTTAGCTCAAGAAAATAGGTGATAGAACAGTATGTATAATATAATGCTTATACTGTCTTTAAAAATATGTGTGTGTTACGTGTTTGTATGTATTCAAAGGAGACACACACACACACACACACACACACACACACACACACATGCAACAAGATGTTAATTAACAACAGCTGTAGGTAGAATAAAGGAAAACAAACCAAGAAAACAAATATACAAAAAGTTTAAAAGCACAAAAATGAATCTCATACTGAAAACAAAAGCTCTCATAAACAAGATTTTTTAAATGGATTTTCCCTCCAGTAAAGTAAAATAAAATAAATAACAGGCTAAGGTGAACACCAGGAATTACTACTGTAATTGCCTGGAAGGGGCAAGAAATCACCATAAAACTACACTATATGAGGGTCTCTGGAGCTTCTTACTCACAGATCCTCCAAAGATCTCAAATGCCTGACAGATAAAACTGTGACTCAATAACTTGAAGACAAAAAGAGGAAGACCATTTGCAGTAAGCAAATGCATTCCTTTTAAAGCAGTTACCTGAAAAAACTAAGAAAAAAAAGAAAATTTCCCTTCCTTATTTCTGAGGTAAATTATTAGAAGATGTAAATTACAGCCTTACCAGCATACAAATATCCATGGGAAGAAACACCTTTCTTCTGCTACCATGATATGGCGTTGCTCTCAAGCAAGTGACAATGCCTTGTGCTTTTCCAATGTGACTTGCGGCATGATCTGCATGAAGATCCTTTATACCTATTATTTCAGACATTAAACAGGGCTGCTCTATTCTCTTTAAGTACATAGCAAATGAATAGAAACAACTTAAAGAAATCACCTAAACTCAAAAAGTATCCTATGCTTTATATCGGAAAAACAGGGTTTATGGGAAAAAAACTGGGCACAAGCACAAGCTGAACACTGACCACCAGCAGGTAGCTGAATCTCAACTTTTAAACGAAAATTTTCCTCAGGCTATAGCACATTAAGAACACAATTAGAATTTTAATCAGGTCTCATGGAAAATTTTCATCACCTATCACATCTTCCACTTCTTCTCCTCTATGCAATTTCCATATGGTTTCATTTTAAGTACACACTTAGCAAACATTCTGCTCTTTGCTCCCTTCTTTCACTGTGATGGCAAACATGTCACTGGGGATGCAAGCAGAAGAGGCCTGGGAAATTGAATGGGGACTTGTATTATTCTCTTAGGGAGGTATAAAGATATATTACCGGCTGGGCTCGATGGCTCATCCTGTAATCCCACCTCTTTAGGAAGCCGAGGCGAGTGGACTGCCTGAGCCTGCGGTTCGAGACCAGCCCAGGCAACTTGGCGAGACTTCGTCTCTACTATAAATAAAAAATTAGCTGGGAATGGTAGCGTGTGCCTGTAGTTCCAGCTACTTAGAAGGCTGAGGCGGCAGGATCACCAGAGCCCAGCAGGTCGATACCAGGATGGCCATGAGTGTGCATTCCACTGCACTCTAGCCTGGGCAACAGGGTGAGACTCCAACTCAAAAAAAAATAAAAAATAAAAAATTAGAATATTACCTTCCTCAAATGAGATGGTACTGTTGTTGGCCCAAATAATTTCTTTATTATAGTAAGACCTCACAAGCTTGGAACAAAGTCAGAGAAGGAATAGTACCATCAAATTTTGTTTTTAAAGGAGGGGAGAAAGAAAAATATCATAAAAACTTTCATGAGCCAGGCTCGGTGGCTCAGCCTGTAATCTTGCGCCTTTGGGAGGCTGAGGTGAGTGGATTGCCTGAGCCCGCGGGTTCGAGACCCGCCTGGGAAGCGAGATCTCATCTCTACAATAAATCAAAAAATCAGCTGGGCGTGGTAGCGCATGCCTGTAATTCCAGCCACTCGGAAGGCTGAAGCGGAAGGATCGCCGGAGCCCAGCAGATCAAGGCTCGGTGGCCGGGAGCAGCCACTACACTCCAGTCTGGGGTGACAGAGCGAGACTCCAACTCAAAAATAATAATAATAATAAAAAATAAAAAAAACCTTTCATGAATGCAATTTTATTTCTTCTACTTTTTTTTTTTTTACATGGGAGAGTATTATTGATTGGAAAGGAAGAGTCAGACTACAGGCCTTCCAAACTCTAAGAGATGCCGCAGTAATAAAACCATGTGCAATCACCAGATAATTTCAGTATTTCCATGATGTAACTAAAGTACCTGTATGAGAGCCTGAGTTTTAGATTAGTCTGCACTCCAAAGATAAATTCTCCTTCTTGCTTAAAAATAAATAAATAACAGTTTCTTTACAGATGGCACAAAGAAAAACTCCAGTGCTAAACTGATTACACTTCCAAATTATGAACGAGTGAAATCTCAAAGGTGTTTGATTTGGGAAAAAAAAGTATGAAATTAAGAAAATGACTTACCCAATATTTCTAATGTTAAATACAGAAGAGAACTCTGGGTGTTTTCAGCATAATTTTCCAGTTCCTGGATATTACGATATGCTTTGTCATCTAAATTTTTTTCCTACAGCCAAAGAAAATGCAAATAAAGTTTGTCAAACTGTCAATATTATTAAAAAAGTGGGTTTTTTTGGCCCTTTAAAGAACTGAATAATAGAGGATAAAAATATTTAGTATATATTGTTTAGTACACAATATCATTAAAATAACATTAAAATAGTAAAGCCCTACACATTCAATACTTACAAATCACGTTTCAAAATAATAGTCAAGAATAATCTCAATGCATACATCACAGAGTTGTCTTAGTTTTTAATTTCTTCAAAACCCTAATGTATCAGAAGAAATTCACTGTACTAAGTACTTAAATTCTTTTTTTTATTGAGTCTGAATCTCACTCTGTCACCCATGCCGGAGTGCAGTGGCAAGTTCATGGCAACCGCAGTCTTGACCTGCTGGGCTTAGGCAATCCTTCCACCTCAGCCTTCCAAGTAGCTGGCACAGTTGTGTGCCACCATGCCTGGCTAATTTTTTTTATTTATAGTAGAGACGAGGTCTCACCAAATTGCCCAGGCTCGAACCCCGGGACTCAGGCAATCCTCTTGCCTCAGCCTCCCAAAGTGCTAGGATTACAGGCTTGAGCCCCACACCCAGCCGACATTATCTTCTTAACTCAAACCCCAGGAGAGAAAGAATTAACACACTCATTTTACAAATGAAGAAACTGAGGCACAGACACATTAATTAACATATCCAAGAATACAGTTAATGAATGGTGGGGAGGAGCTTCGAACTCATTTTGACTCTTGATCTTTATGAGAAAAAAAGAACCTAGAAAAAGAGGCCAGCCATGTTTGCTCAAGCCTGTAATCCCAAAACTTTGGGAGGCAGAGGAGAGAGGATTATCTGAGCTCAGAAGTTTGAGACCAGCCTGGGCAACATAGTAAGACCTCATATCTACAATAAATAAAAAACTTAGCTGTGCATAGTGGCATACTTCTGTAGTTCCACCTTCTTGGAAGGCTGAAGCAGGATCGCCAGAGCCCAGGAGGTCAAGGCTGTGGTGGCCATGAATATGCCACTGCACTCCAGCCTGGGTGACAGAGTGAGACTCCAATTTTTTAAAAAATCAATAGTTTTTAGTATAGTTACAAAGTTGTAAAGTACAACTACCACCACTATCTAATTCCAGAATATTTTCATCATCCCTAAGAGAAAACCTGTATCCATTAATCAATCACTTTCCATTTCTTCCTCCCCTCAGGCCTAGAAAATCACTATTCTACTTTCTGTCTTCATGGATTTGTCTATTCTGAACATTTCATAAAAATGGGATCATGTACCATGTAGCTTTTTGTGTCTGGCTTCTTTCATGTAGCATAATGTTTTCAAGGATCGTTCATGTTGAAACATCTATCAGTATTTCATTCTTTTTAATTGAAAAAATTATGAATAGTATTCCATTGTATGGCTATACCACAGTTTGCTTAACCACTCATTAGACTATGAATTCTTTCCACTTTGGGGCTATTATGAATAATGTTTCTATGAACATTTTCATACACAAGTTTTGTGTGGACATATTTACATATTTTCTTTTCTAATTTTTTTTTTTTTTTTTTGAGTTGGAGTCTCACTCTGTTGCCCAGGATGGAATGTTGTGGCACACTCACGGCCACCCCAGCATCTATCAGCTGGGCTCCAGCGATCCTTCCGCCTCAAGCCTTCCAAGTAGCCAGAACTACAAGTGTGCGCTACCATGCCTGGCTAATTTTTTATTTTTATTGGAAAGACAAGGTCTCTCCAAGTTGCCCGGGCTGGTCTGGAACCCGCGGACTCAGGCAATCCACTCGTCTCGGCCTCTCAAAGTGCTGGGATTACAGGTTGAGCCACTGAGCCCGGCCTGTTCTTATATTTTCATTTCTCTTTGGTATAAACCTAAGAGAGGAATTTCTAGGTGTATGGTAACTCCATGGTAAACTTTTTTTTTATTTTTTGAGTTGGAGTCTCACTCTGTCACCCAGAATGGAGTGCAGTGGCTGCTCCCGGTCACCGCAGCCTCGACCTGTTGGGCTCTGGCGATCCTTCCGCCTCAGCCTTCCAAGTAGCTCGAACTACAGGAGCGCACTACCACACCCGGCTACTCTTTTGATTTACTGCAGAGTTGAGGTCTTCCAAGTTGCTCAGGTGGGTCTCGAACCCATGGGCTCAGGCAATCCACTCAACTCAGCCTCCCAAGGCGGGGGATTACAGGCTGAGTCACCTAGCCTGGGCATGTTTAACTTTTTTTTTTTGAGTTGGAGTCTCACTCTGTCACCCAGACTGGAGTGCAGTGGCCACTCCCGGCCACCGCAGCCTCGACCTGCTGGGCTCCGGCGATCCTTCCGCCTCAGCCTTCCAAGTAGCCGGAATTACAGGCATGTGCTACCATGCCCGGCTGATTTTTTTATTTATTGTAGAGATGAGATCTCGCTGCCCAGGCGGGTCTCGAACCCGCGGGCTCAGGCAATCCACTCACCTCAGCCTCCCAAAGGCGCGGAATTACAGGCTGAGCCACCGAGCCCGGCTATGTTTAACTTTTTAAAGAACCGCCAAATTGTTTCCAAAGCAACTACACCATTTTATATTCCCACCAGCAATCTATAAAGGGTTTCAATTTCTCCACATTTTCATCAACACTTGTAACTGTTCATCTTTTTCATTGCAGCCGTCCTAATGGGTGTCAAGTGGTATTTTGTTGTCTTGATTTGCATTTCCCTAATGAGATGTTGAATATCTTTTCAGATATTTACTGTTTATTTATGTATTTTTGGAGAAATGTCTATTCAAATCCTTTGGCCATTTTATGTTGGGTTATTTGTCTTTTTATTATTGAGTTGTAAGAGTTTCTTATATGTTTGATTTTATTATTGTTATTTTTTGAGTTGGGGTCTCACTCTGCTGCGTAGGCTGGTGTGTAGAGGCATGATCACGGCTCACTGCAGTATCAAGCTCCTGAGCAAGGGATCCTCCTGCCTCTACCTCTCAAGTAGCTGGGACTAGAGGCATGTGCCACTATGACAGCTAATTTTTAAATTTTTTTATAGAGACGAAGTCTCGCTATGTTGCCTTTTTTTTTTTTTGAGTTGGAGCCTCACTCTGTCACCCAGACTAGAGTGCAGTGGCACGCTCCCGGTCACTGCAGCCTCAACCTGCTGGGCTCCAGCAATCCTTCCACCTCAGCCTTCCAAGTAGCTGGAACTACAGGCGCACATTACCATGTCCGGCTATGTTTGCCCAGTCTTGAACTCCAGGACTCAGCAATCCTCTCATTTTAGTCTCTCAAAGTGCTGGGATTACAGACATGTGCCACCACACCCAGCCTTCGTTATATATTTTGGATATTAGTCCCTTGTCAGATATATAACTGGCAAATATTTTTATCCCATTATATAGGGTTTCACCTTCTTAAAGTTTTTTATTTTGACAAAGTCCCATTTATTTATTAACTTTTATTGCTCATGCCTTTGGTAGCATATCTAAGAAACCACTGTCTAACCTAAAGTCACAAAAATTTATGCCTATGTTTTCTTCTACATCTAGATTTTATCTCTTACATCTAGGTCTTTGATCCAGTTTGAGTTAATTTTGTATATGGTATGAGGTAGAAGTCCAAATTTATTATTTTGCATGTGGGTATCCAGTTGTTCCAGCACCATTTGTTGAAAAGACTGTTCTTTCCCTCATGGATTGTCTAGACACCCTCGTCATTCAATTGACTATAAATATAAATGAGCTTGTATCTGGACTCCCATTTCTATTCCAGTGATCTACCAATACCACACAGTTTGAAAACTGTAGCTGTGTAGTTAAGTTCTGAAATCAGAAAATGTGAATCCTCCAACTTTGTTCTTTGCTAAGATTATTTTGGCTATTCTGGGTCCCTTGCATTTCCACATGAATTTTATGATCATAATTTGTGCTTTTGTCAATTTCTGCAAAAAAGAAATCTGGAATTTTGGAAAGACTTACACTGAATCTATTGATCAGTGTCTGATCCCCATCCTTTACTTTTCCTTTCAAAGAGCTCCCTCTTCAAATGCCAAATATTATTTTCCATCAAATAAAAGAGGTATCTCTGTCTTGAGTTCTCTAATTTTCTTTACCTTGTAAAAACAGAAGACACCTGGAAAACAGGTTTTCTTAGTGTTAATTTACTGTGCAGACCTACTGTGAGCAATTTCGTTTTTTGTTTTTTTGTTTTTTTGAGTTGGAGTCTTACTCCTTTGCCCAGACTGGAGTGCAGTGGCACACACACTCATGGCCACCCCAGCGCTGACCTGCTGGGCTCTGGCAATCCTTCCACCTCAGGCTTCTGAGTAACTGGAACTAAAGACGCGTGCTACCGCCTGGCTATTTTTTATTTTATTGTAGAGACGAGATCTCGCCAAATTGCCCGGGCTGGTATCAAACCTGCAGACTCAGGCAATCCACTCGCCTCGGCCTCCCAAAGTGCTGGGATTACAGGCTGAGCCACCGAGCCCAGCCTCCCAAAGTGCTGGGATTACAGGCTGAGCCACTGAGCCCAGCACAATTTTGTTTTTGTTTTTTGTTTTTCTGGGTTTTTTTGAGTTGGAGTCTCACTCTGTCGCCCAGACTGGAGTGCAGTGGCCGCTCCCGGCCACTGCAGCCTCAACCTGTTGGGCTCCGGTGATCCTTCCGCCTCAGCCTTCCAAGTAGCTGGAACTACAGGCACGTGCTACCACACCCGACTAATTTTTTTGATTTATTATAGAGATGAGGTCTCGCCAAGTTGCCCAGGCGAGTCTCAAACCTGTGGGCTCAGGCAATCCACTCACCTCAGACTCCCAAAGCGCAGGATTACAGGCTGAGCCACCAAGCCCAGCTTCACAATTTTGTTTTTAAAGGTGAAGTCATTACCTATCACTTTTTGGTGTATTATTATTACTACAGCCTACAGTTAACAGATTTAATATAAATAAACTAAGTATATTTATATTTTCACAACATTATTTGTTTTTTGTGTTTTTTTTTTAATTGAAGTCTTACTCTGTCACCCAGGCTGGAGTGCAGTGGCATGCTCATGGTCACCGCATCCTCTATCTGCTGGGCTCAGGCAATCTTTCCGCCTCAGTCTTCCAAGTAGCTGGAACTACAGGTGCGCACCACCACGCCCAGCTAATTTTTTTTTTGGCTTATTGTAGAGATGAAGTCTCACCAAGTTGCCCAGGCTGGTCTTGAACCCTGGGCTCAGGCACTCATCTTGCCTCAGCCTCCCAAAGTGCTGAAATTACAGGTTTGAGCATTTGACAGATTATCCAGGCCAAGGAGAACACTGACCAAATATGTGTCAGAAAGATTGCACAAATTAGGCCAGGACAAAGATTACACAAATTAGGCCAGGACACAGAGCAATTCCAGGCTTAGCTGGACCTAGAACTCAGTTCTAAGAACTCAGTACAGGATTCCATTCAATAGAACTGTCAGACTTTCTTTATTCCCTCTACTACTGGGACACAGATTCAAGTACCAGAGTATACATAAAGGTATGTGTATGACTAGTTGAATATTTGCTGACATTGAGGAATTATTAGTAATTTTTCAAGGTATAATAATATTGTAGATAGGTTTTTTAAAAGTCTTGATCTTTTTAAATGACACATATGCATTTACAAATCAAATGATAACATGTCTGGGATTTACTTTAAAATACTGCAGTGAGGATTAGCAAGGGGAGTTGGTAGGATAATATAGATGAAACAAGATGGAGGTGTTGATAACTAGCAAAGCTGGGTGACAGATACATGAAAGTATATTACAGTATTCTTTCTATTTTTATATAAGTATGAAATTTTCCATTAAAAAAACAAAATAGTAAAGCATGGTTATACACACACATGCATCTACCTAGGTGCCTGTCCACCTCAAGGTGGGGGTGCAAGAGCTGAGGTGGTTGGCATCAAGGATAAAGTATGGATAAAAAGGCATCGTTCTTCGGAAGTTTCCTTCCTCTAAAATATTAATACACATATTAAATTATTTCCTCCTTGAAGAATCAGCTTAATGATTGAAAAGAAAAAAACACTAAGATGAACAATTTCAACTTACTCTTTCATCAATGATTTTCATAAGCCATCTTTTAGTCAGATGATGTCTTTTGACAGCCTAAGAAAAAAGAAAGCACTAGAAATGATTTCCACAGATCTGAATAAAATAAAAAAACCAAATACAAAACTGGGTAAGGGAGCATTTGTAGTAACTCATCACTAGACAGATAGCTATTTATGTTAAAGAAATATTAGGGAAAAATCAGTGGAAGAGAAAATATCCCTAGAAAATATTTCAAGACATTTCCAAGTAAGGATAGTATTTCTAATGCTTTTCCACTAACCTGCCTTTTTTCTCCTATACTATTAATCATTTAACAATTCCATTTTAAAACAAAAACAAGAATTAAGTACAGATCCTCTTTATTATGACACACTCTGACATTATGCTTATTACACACAAATTTTTTTCCATAGGGTAAAAATTCTACTTAGCAAAATAGCCTTCTCTGAAAAATAAAAGAGTAACTAAAAATCCAACAAACATAATCTGCAGGGTAAATTGTTTTCCTAGCAAGTAAAGACACTCCAGTAGAAAAGAGGACATCTCACGCCCAGATCCTGGCCTCAAACAGCATTCCTCTCTCAGGAATCAGGGGTCTAGAGGAACAGTGATTCCAGAGGTGGGGCAGGGACGAGGTTCAAGATGAAGAAGCTTGGGACAATCTGAACCCCAAATAATTAAATATGCAAATGATTACAAACTATTAGGGAAAAAAACCCCAAAAACTTGTAAGTTCACACCAATAATTAATAAGCAAATAAACATAGGCAGTGAGAGCTCATTCTTACCGTAGAATGCTCAGTGCCAAATGTCATATGTGTGTGGATAGGGTGCTGAAGTGGAGAAGTTATTATTCTGCAATTGTAACAGTAAAGAATGAATCAGACAAGAACATCAGTGGCTTCTAAGTTTAGGAAAATTTTGATGAAAAGCAGGATTTGCACTGTCTTAAAGTGTCTCCTTAAAGGTGGTTGTTTAATTACAAGGGAAATTAACATTATACACTGGTAAACCAGGCCAAATCTTGATTGAGTGATCAAATTAACAATGCCAGTAAAGGACAAATGAACAAAGTGTGCCTCTAGATGTGATACCCTGAGAAGGACATATCACTTATGAAGTTATTCCAGTCAAGAATCCATAACCTGATGATTTATCTGATGTTTTCTAATCATGAGAAAACATCAGACAAATCCAAAGTGAGTATTATAAAAAATTTTTTTTAAGTGGGGAGGCTATATTCTTCAAAAAGATCAAAAAAAGCTATGGAAATATTTCAGATTAAAACAAACTAAACAGATATGACAGAATCTTGCCCAAGACTGAATCCTATACTAGAGGGGAAAAATGCTTGGACTACGAATAAAAAATTAGATAAAAGCATTGTATCAAAGTTAAATTTACTAAAGTGAATAACTGTTCTGGTTATATAAGAGAATACTCCTATTCTTAGAAAATATTCACTGAAATTTTTAGGTTAGGTCCATGATGTATATAACTTATAATCAAATGAGTCAGAAAAAATATAAATTTTAAAAATATATATTAATATAGAGAGATAAGGGGGAGAGAGAAAAATAAAGGGAAAGGAAAAAGAGGGTGAGAAGGAGAGTTGATGGGGGAGAAGGAGAGCACATGTGAATGAGCATTTACAAATGATTAAACAAATGAGAAAATACTAATAGTTGAATCTGGGTAAAGGTTATGAGATGTTCTTTGTTCTACTTTTAATTCTGTAACCTTTCTGAAAGGTTGAAATTATTTCTAAGTAAGCTTTAAAAATACTGGGTTTGTTTTTTTTTTTTTTGCCACATCAACAATAAGTATATTTTCAAAATAAATAAATATGGTAGTGAAACAGAGGACTTAGGGATATCTTATACTTCACTGAAGACCATCAGATATCATTGATACTAAAATATAAAGGCAAGCATGCTCATCAATACATTTATATGGCAAAGGGTATAAGTATAGAGAACAGAGCCCACTTGGTTTGGTAGGAACCTGATTGAAGCCCAAAGGGCTGCCCAGATTTAGTTCCCAAGAGCTCTCTCAGTACCACCATCATTACAAAGCAGGACTCTCCCCCAGGCCTCTCTCCCAAATCCCAGGAGCCAGCCAACCAGGCACTACAGACTCCTACTCTTATTTTATTTTATACATGTCTGAGTGGGATGGACATGTTTGATCTTCGTAATCAGATCACAGAACACCATTCCTGGTATATAAAAGCATTCAATAAAGAGTTAATCAATGAAAATCCAAACTCCTACATATTCAAGATTGAAGTTTTTATAACTGTAGTTCCTTGACTACAAAATATAGCTGTCTGATTCTGAAGAAAATCGGAGATCAAGGTAAAAAATAAATATTTAAAAGAAGTTGGAAATCTGCTGAATAACTTAAGTCTGGATAATGAAGCCAAATAGAATAAAAACCTTGGCAATAAACATAAATTCAAACTGCAGCTAAAATTCATACAGGAAATGGAGACCCTCATATGGAATATATAAGAAATCATAAATATTCAACTATTTTGTACCCTAAAAATTCTAATGAAGCTTTAGAAGAAAAGTGTTCCCTGGATAACACACTGGTCCTCCTACTCCATCTTCTAAAGAGCTCAAAACTCTTCAAAGAACAATGGAAAGTCTTGATGGGGTCACAATAAGTACAGCTGCAATAGACTGGGGAGGGACAGAGAACATGAAACAAGGACAATCCACTTCTCTCAAATACTCATATTAACCTTCAACACCACACAAAGCCAGATAACATATGAACCATCGAGATTCAAGCAATTATTAAAACTGGATAAACCAGCAATCCTAAATTGGTACCTATGTAAACATTCTGTAATTCAGACAGATCTTCTGTTTTTTTAAGAGAAGCCAAGAAAAGATAAATTTGCATCAAAGGAATTTCTAATCTTCTACTATATTTCCTGACAACAGCCAGAACTTTCTATGCAAGTCTTAACATAAATCTCCACAACAGTCAGGTTTGTGTATAAAACAATAAATAGCCAAGCTCGGTGGCTCAGCCTGTAATCCCGCGCCTTGGGAGGCTGAGGTGAGTGGACTGCCTGAGCCCGCTTGGGCAACTTGGTGAGACCTCATCTCCACAATAAATCAAAAAATTAGCCAGGCGTGGTAGCGCATGCCTGTAATTCCAGCTACTTGGAAGGCTGAGGCGGAAGGATCGCCGGAGGCCAGCAGGTCGAGGCAGCGGTGGCCGGAAGCGGCCACTGCACTCCAGTCTGGGCAACAGAGTAAGACCCCAACTCAAAAAAAAAAACAATAAATAGAAAGGTTTTCAGGATTTTAGAGAAACTTTTCTCTCTTCTGAGTCACCTAGGTTGAGCTTCTCGAAGTGGGATGAATAGAGGTAAAGAACTAATCTAATACTCACAGCTTCCCATCCACTTTTTCTTCTAAGTCCCCAGTGTGGGAAGTCTGGCTTTCCATCTTTATTGGGCCTGCCTCTGCAGGTACACAGACCTGAGAAGACATGTACCACTGTCAGGTCTGCAGGTGGCTCCTGGTACAGAAACCCTCTTTTGTCAATTATTGGATTACAAAGGGGACACAGATCATTGACAAAAGACACCTAATTCTCTTCCTCTAGCCATAGTTTAGTGTGTTTCTAAACTGAGTATGGCTGTTTATGAAGGAGGGAGCCAAATAGCTGCTTTAATATAAAACCACTTACTCTCAAACAAGGCGAAGTGGGGACCAAGAGGAAGCCCAAACTTTACCTGTATGATGACCACTTAATCTACCTAATCCTGAATTGGACCCCACATCTTTTTTTTTTTTTTGAGTTGCAGTCTCACTCGGTCGCCCAGTTTGGAGTGCAGTGGCTGCTGCCGGCCACCGCAGCCTCGCTGCTGGGCTCCAGCAATCCTTCCTCCTCAGCCTTCCAAGTAGCTGGAATTACAGGCATGCGCTACCACACCTGGCTGATTTTTTGATTTATTATAGAGATGCAGTCTCGCTGCCCAGGTGGGTCTCGAACCCGCGGGCTCAGGCAATCCACTCACCTCAGCCTCCCAAAGGCACGGGATTACAGGCTGAGCCACCGAGCCCGGCTTGTACCCCACATCTTTAAAATTAAAAAACAAAACAAACTTGAAGTTAGGAAGCACAGATGGACCTCATGCAGAACTAGAACCGGGAATGCTAAAGCCATCTGGAGCTACTCTCTTCGCGACGCCACATCGCTTCTTTTGCGTCTACATTGCTTTCTGCATTGGCTCTGTTTTTTGCTCATTCTGCAGTGAGGCTTTCTATGTTTTCCTATGGGGGCTACAGGTGGCTGCTCCACAGCTACTGTGTTTTTATTTTCCCAACTAAAATACAATATTGTTAAGCTCATATTTTATACTGTGCTGAAGAACATTAAAAGACAGCAATACTTCAATTTTTTTTTCAAAAAACAACTTACTAGATACATCTAGCTATACAAATACTCTAGCCCATGGGTTTCCATTCTCTGACACATAAAATTCATCAATGAACAGAAAATTCTACCAAACTAGACAAGTAGGTTTAAGAAGTTGTGTCTGGACATGGTGAAAGCAAGTCTTCCTT